AGTTATTTGATCGTGTATTCACCTATCCTATATCCTGGTAACACCAATTCTCTATCACAATTACTTACTTGCCTATGCAACCCCAGTTTATGTGCGCCCTCTTGACTGTAAACTGTATACGTTTTACTTAAGACGCTGTTTATCATGGTCTTCAGCACACCTTTGTAAGCATGTATGCTGTGGCCTCAACGAGCAGAGCGCCTAGGCTCTGATTCATAAGCTCGCAGAAATCAGGAATTGTCTCTACCGCCCACCTCCATGATACAACCCGTGAATCATGGGTAAATTGTGAAATTCTATAGAAGTGGTCTGACCTTATTTTGGTATGTTGGTCGTGTTATCAGGATGATTTAGTTGGACGCACTTCTTCCGAAGTTTTTTGATATGGTGGGTACCATAATTCCAAGCGTTGGACCGTGGAATTGGTACATCCCCACACGTCTAGCCGGCAGCATAGTCTCAGCACCAAGATAAAACTCATCAAAGGGACAAATGAAGTCAATCCTTTGACAGACTTTCTGCCGAAACGGTTGTGCTATCACTCCCCTCTCCGTCCTGGTCATTCTATCTACTCCCTACTCGCTTATCTCATTCCTGACCCCTCACAACTTCTGACTTGACAGGGAATTGACTTCACCTGTCTTTTTGATGTGTTTTGACTTGGTACTGAGAATGACAAGACTCACTGAAGTCGCCGATTACGATGACGGTGAAACATCTGGGAATGTACCAAGTCCACAGTCCAACGCTGGAAATACTAATAACTACTATGGCAGACAACTTCGGACAAGGTGCGTCCAAATAAGTCACACTAACAACACAGCCAAGTTGGGAAACCGAGGTCAGCCTACTTCAGCCACAATATGTTGGTCTTCATAGCCATGCGATAGTATATTTCTCGTCAAATGTTGTATCTCGATTGGATTACTGGAAGAGCTGGCTTAGATCTAATAGAAATAATACAGAATTCCTGTTATGCTTGTTATTATACCTATTCCCCCTCTTTTTGTGACCACCAGGACCCAAAAGTTGTAATCGTTTACACAAGCAGACTACACTTACGGAAAACGTGTTCTCTTGATTTTCGAATCTCATTCACCCGCCTCCTTTTTGTGATCCATTTTCGTTTGGTTGACGATATGTCTTCAATTCAGGCATCTTATTTTACTGGTCTTGCCATATCTCTATTTGCTAAGTTATCTCGAACTCTGCCTTCTTCAAGTCTGCTGTTAATTACATTTTTTCAGCGAGGATGCCGATACCCTTCTTTATCTTCTGTTACCTTGTGGTTTCCACGCATGAGGCCTTTCTTTCGGTTGTCTTTCAATTAATCTCGTGCCTAGCCTCTGCAATGTGTTTCGTCATTTCTGATCTCCTTTGCTAGATTGTCCTGAAGATCTTTTGCTTTTCCTTGGTTGCTGATTTCTATTCACGTTTCGCCAATATACTTCTGCCCACAGACTCCGCGTGTTATGCAGTAAACGCCCTAGCAATAAGATTTTTATACCTTCACCTGTAGCTTGGATAAACTTGTAAAGTGTTACTTTTCCACGGTGACCTGGGTATTTCATTTTTTTATTATTGGCCGTAGTTTTTGAGTTCGTTTGCAAGAAGATAGGCGCATTCACTTTTGTATCTCTCTCCCCAACCATGCCATCCGCTTTTCACGACCTGTATGTTTCTTTGTATTACTTCTCTAGGATATCCGAGACTGGGTGAGATATGAGGATAGAGGGTAGGTAGCTGTACCAGGACAGGAGGAGGGATTCCAAAACCGTCGGAAAGAAGTTGGCCACTTGACTATCTGACGAAATGTGGCTTGGTGTTAAGCATGGCAAGACTGACTGAAGATGTCAGAAAAACGGAATGTTCATGTTCACATTACGACGCTGAGAATTAGCATAGCTACTGTTGCACAAGACTTCGGACATTTCGCCCTGACAATATGATCAATTTGCAAAAAGAACGCCAAACCAATTTTATAAAGTTAAAGGAGACAGCGACCAAGACAGAGGCTACAGCTTATTGGTACTCATATTTACGACCAAGTGTACATTGTGAAGTTCAGCCCATTCTCAAATATTCCTGTGTTAATGACGCTGTTGCATTATTTCTGGTGGGTGTATAACCAAATGGGCTTCACCCGCTGCAAATTTATCAGGACCGATGTTCCAAAGTGCTGTAGAAAATCTACACATAAAATGCAATACCCAGATAAACTCTTGTCTCTACTCCCTCCCGAGGCCAGGATACATTAAGATGAATTTTGGGATTCTGTATCATTCAGACCGTTTCTTGACTTTATCCATAATTAATTATTTCGCTGATATCTTCTCCCAGTCAGCTTTTACTTTCTTCATTTATGTCTTGCCTCTTATAAATCATTCTATTTTCATGCTCTCCAAGGCTGACCAATCTCTAGAGCCCGGTTCTTTGAACAGCTAAGCATCTCTTCTAACCCACATACATCTTGAGCAGCTCAAGATAATTATACTACGCCTAATGATAGATCCTTCTTTCACTGATTGTTTTATCTATTCTTCTTTGGCTTTCTTGTTGTCTACCAGCCTGTTAACTTTTGATGAACCCGTCATCATTTCTGTTGTCTAGACCATTTTGCCTGTACTTCTCCTAACATGGAAGAATTTGCCACTAGACTCAGATACCCACCCGTCCATTCAAGCTTGACTCTTATGTCGTCCAGGGTGTTTCAACTTAATCCATGCGCCGTTTGTTATCTGAATTAAGTCATCTCAGAGTCTGGCCACTGAAAGACTCGGACCGTCATGTGAGCACGCATACTCACCGACCGGCTGTTCAGCTTGTCCGCTTTGATGAAGCGCCCCTCCCTTCTCTGCTCCCGGCCTATCTGCCAAACTCCTCGGGGTGGCTTCTTCCTCCAACCTCCGGGAGTGCCGGACAGTGTATAAAATATCCCGTAAGCTTAATTTGACAATTTGCCAATACAGTGCATGACAGGCCAACCCGCGTCTTTGGCGCTTGCCTCCCAGGCTCCCATCTTGCCGGCTTCCCCTTGACCCTTGGCGATGCACCGGGTCTTTTTTATCAAGACCCTTCTGTCTCATTCATTTCTTTGTCTCTCTGCCATCCCAAAGGGCACGCAAACATCTTTTCGTTGCCATTTGACACAGTGGAGATTTTTTTTCTTCCAAAACACAAACACGACCTCATGCTCTTTTCTCTCAGGTCCATGTGTCGATCATTTGGAAGGCCGAAAAGGTGTCCAGAATTGTCACTTTGCTCCGATGCCCACCTGCTGGAAGCGACTTGGCTAGATGGCCTGCAAGATAAGCAGAATGTCTGGATCTTTCTGCTTCAGCGACCGACCTGCCATCTTGAGTTTACGCCATTCAGAATGAAGATAAAGCTTGCAGGATCCACAAAGTAAAAGTTGGACAGATGAAACTCGGCGTCAGTTTTCGTGACCCTATCCTGGCCGAACGGATGTTTCACAGAATAGGCTGTAAGAGAAATATGATGAAGAAAATCTTTTTAGTTAAAAAAGTTGTGGATAATTTTATTTCGTATATAATTGCATGTTGAAGGGATTTATTGGTCGGCCTCGCCAGGAGACTACAGCTTATTCCTGTTATTCTAATACGACGTTCAGGTTGACGCAGTCCATGAGGTATCCTCTCTCAGTTCGGGTAAAAATGAGCCAAGCATCATAATCAGAGTAGGAATTCATTCATCTTTTTCACTTACTGTTAATTGGCGACTTTTGCAGGAGTGTCTTTCAGCTCTGATGGTGCCCGTCAAATGATGTACGAAAGCTGAGCTTACTTTCACCCGAACTGAGGGAAGATGCTTCGTAGACTGTGTTAACCTAAAGGTCGTATTAAAGCCAAACACCATTGTAGAATAACAGCGATCATCTCCTGGTGACATCTACCAACGAATCTCTTCATCATGCAATTATATACGAAATGAAAGTCTCTTCAACACTGCAAGAAAAACTGCTTCGTTAACAACTTTTTGGGTCGCCTAATACCTTGAAACTCAATTAATAATCTTTGCTTTTCCCAAATTGGCTGTGCCTACAAAGAGACGTTGCAGCAGGCAACCTGAATTTTCTTTTAATCTGCATCTTTGGCGAACAGAGTCAATCAGTGCACCATTCTTGTTTGCGAGGCCGACCTAGTCGAAGCATCTTGGAATGTACTCATTCGACGTCCAGATGCTTGAGATGACGACGATTATCAGGCACCGTATTTTAGTTGCCCATGGCAACACGAATAAATTAACAAAAGCATTTTTTCCTTCTTCAACCCAAATGAGTATAGAAGTGATTTGACTTTGTTTTCGCAAATTAATTGTGTCAGGGCAACTTAGATGACCGCGCCCTGTC